GGCGCGGTGGTGAGGGAGGCCCCAGAGGGCTCTGCCAGGCCGGGTGTCTCGCGGCTGCGCTAGTGCCAGGATGGCGGAGCAGGCGACGTGCGGCTCAGGTTGCTGAGGGCTCGGAGCTGGGGCTGGAAAGCAGAGCTGAGATCCGAGAGCGCTTGCCAAATAGGAGGCCTGGGCTGTAGCCATTGGAGTGCGATTCAACACGGCCCCCTGTGCGGTGTGGCCCTTGGGGCAGGAAAACCACACGCACCAACCCAGGCTGGGGGGGGTCCAGCAGGCAGCAGCACAGCTGAGAGGGAGCTGGGGGGGTGGCAGACACAACAGATGCAGTTTGAGGTTGCATTGAGGCATCGCTGCAAGTCGCAGGAAGTGGCAAGGACCCCGCTGCTGGGCGCTGGCCGGGCCTCCGCTGTGGCCTGTTTCGGTCAGCGCTGTGCAGGAAGGACGGAGGGACGCTGGAAAGGATCCAGACGCTCAGAGAAAGCTGCCATAGGAAGAGGGCGAAAAGTTGTTCTGTCTCCCGCAGAGGGCAGGACGAGAGGCCCTGGGCTCGAACTCCGGCAGATGCAATCCCAGGAAAAGCTTCCGAGCTGCAGGGACAGTCGGACGAGGGGACGGAGCCGGGGGAGGTGGAGGGCGCTCCTTCGCGGGAGTCTGGAGCCGCCTGTCGTGGGTGGTTCAGACATGCCATAGGAAGAGGGCGAAAAGTTGTTCTGTCTCCCGCAGAGGGCAGGACGAGAGGCCCTGGGCTCGAACTCCGGCAGATGCAATCCCAGGAAAAGCTTCCGAGCTGCAGGGACAGTCGGACGAGGGGACGGAGCCGGGGGAGGTGGAGGGCGCTCCTTCGCGGGAGTCTGGAGCCGCCTGTCGTGGGTGGTTCAGACACAACAAGTCCTGCACCTTGGCAGGGCTCAGACCGGCTGACCCTTGTGGTCCCTTCTAGCCCTATGAGCTCTTCAGCAGGGGAATCTGGGGGTGCTTGGCGGGGCGTTGAGGACCTGTGGGGATTGGGGCTCAGGGCGGGGGATCTGGAGTCCTTTTGAGGGTGCAAGGAGGCTGCTTGGACCCAGGATAAATGCCCGATTCCCTGTGGGGCCTGGGAGCAGGCACGTGAGCTGGCCAGGCTGGGGGGTAGCAAGAGCTAGGATCAGCTGTTTAACTAAACTCCAAGCCAGGCTGCTGGGGCCAGTTTCCCTTGTGCTCCGTGGGCAGCAAACAGAGGGGCTCATCCTGGTGGAGAGGAAACCCCCATTCGCCCCCTAACCTCTATGGGGCCTGTCCTGCTCCGTGCAAACACCCCACAGCAGAGCCTGGCAGAAACTGACCCAGCAGCGGTGACTGTGAGGGCATCAGGGTCCACCCTCCATCCCCAGCCCCGATCCACAGTGGGAGCCCCCCCACCTCAAGAGAATCAAACAGAGGGGCTCATCCTGGTGGAGAGGAAACCCCCATTCGCCCCCTAACCTCTATGGGGCCTGTCCTGCTCCGTGCAAACACCCCACAGCAGAGCCTGGCAGAAACTGACCCAGCAGCGGTGACTGTGAGGGCATCAGGGTCCACCCTCCATCCCCAGCCCCGATCCACAGTGGGAGCCCCCCCACCTCAAGAGAATCCTTGGGGGTCCACCTCCCTGCCGGTCCCCCATGCACAGGGCTCCCCTCTCCCTCACCTGCCAGCCTCTCCGTGCCAAA